CTGCAGATTTGATGCCAAGAGGTGCCTTGAAGGATAGGCAATGTACTTTGGCCCTCCTGACATTTTTATCCATGCCCATAGTTATTATCTTCTGAATACATGTTCAATTTCTGGTTTTATTAGCTAATTACATAAAAATCCACGTGGTTGCTATATATATTAAACTGCAGGTGCCCTAACCTCCTCCTCCAAACAAATCATTGCTCCTAAGCCCCTCTAAATCCTCTCCTTGGAAACTCTGGCATCACTAACACCTCTGTGCCTTTATACATCTACTGTTTTCTCCTTCATCAAGGAATCACTTCCCTTCTTATAAATGGCAGTCATCCTTAAAATCAAGTTCAAGTGTTCTCTATGCAGTAAAGGTTTCCAAAGACTCCACAAAGCGTGGTGAACCATCACACCACCATCCCCCACCCCTGTCCCTCATTATGTTGTGTTGTGATCCTTCTGCACTGTACTTATTGGTTGATTCATCCATCCTTTTCAGTAGACTCTAAGAGCTGACACCATATTTCAGCCTCTCTGCACTCCTGGTAGCTAGAGAAATGCTTGTGCTCAAGAAGTGCTTGTGGCATGAATGAAGAAGTCATGGATAGAGAAAAATCAAATTAATTATGGGTTAGCAAAGCTGGAAAGCTGCAGATCAGCTATGAGCATAATCCCAGCTCTGATCCACGAGAATCAGAAGAACCCGAGTTGGAACGAGGCCTTGTCCTTGATCAGAATCAAGGACAAAGCTTGGCTGCTAAGAACACAAGTTGAGAAGCATGTGCCAATTATATCACCATGCACCATTTATCCTTTTGTCTTCTCCCTTTTTCTACTCAATAGATATTGTACCCAGCATGTCCATGAATCAGGTTTTGTTAAAGCAATCCTGAAATACATAGTGAGGAAATATTAACAGTCACAGATGACTTTGACTAACACCTCCGAGTTTATGGCCATAATATGGTCATTTGTGAGCTTTGAGTGAGCACAAGTCAGAGAGCTGCAGGCATTTATGAGAGTCTTGGGAGCAGTAGCCACTGTAAGAACATTAAGTTTAAAACCAGAGGATCTGCTGAAAGAACTAAATAGAAATGGATGTGATCCATCTCTGGCTAAACTGAATAAAGGTAACGTCTCAAGTTTTCCTATGAATTCAATGGAAGAGGAACATAAAAGTGAAACAAATGCTAAGAGGTCCACCAAGAGAGACCCACATAGTTTTAGAACTGGATGAAGGCCCCAGGGAAGCTTTATGCCAACTGAAAGCACTTCTGTAGGCACTCCCTAGATGGCCAGAATGGGGTGCTTCATTCAACTCACTGGTGCAGTGATTCTCAATTGGGACAATTTTGACACCTAGGTTAAGGTCTCTGGACATTTTTCATTGTCACACCGGTGGGGATGGGTGCTAGTGGGTAGAGGCCCAGGAGATGCTGCTAAACATCCTACAATGCACAGGACAGCCCCAGCACAAAGAATCATTTGGCCACAAGTGTCAAAGGGGCAGAGGCTGAGAAACCTTGAGCCAGAGCAACCAGGAAAAGCACAAGAATCAAATCTGTATGAACAAAATTTTCCCACCAAAGGCCATAAGTAACCCTGCAAGGTGCTCATTTGCTGGACTTTTAACATCATTAGTAAAGATTCTCTTTTAGGACGAAGGACACAGCTTGCTTGCACATGAGAAGGACAAGCAGTGCTCAATAAGATGAATTTCCTTCGTTTTTGAGAGGGTTCCAGGGCGTTAAACCTTTGAAAGGTAATCCAGGCCATTAAATTCCAGACCCAGGGGTTACGTTAGGATATCTGGGCCTCTACTAAACAAAACCAGCCTTGGATCTTCATGCCAGGATTCTATCCAATCACTCCATGTCTGCCTCAAGAATAAAGGGATTTTACTTACACACACTTGCGCGCACACACACACGAACATTCTATGAGAAAATTTTGTTCTTTTGCTAGATGGCTTTGTATTTAGTTATTTTTCATTTTTAAACTTTGCTTTTTATATGTTATATTTTATAATGAAATTTGAAAATACAAGTTATCTAAGCTTAATATATTTTATTCTTTTATTCTTTATTTTTATTGCTGACACTATTACAGATGCCCCCATTTACTACGTACTTAGTTTTAACCATTGCAAAGAGGTGAAAATCATAATAGATGAGTTTGCAGACTGCCCAAATGCTGCACAGAGCAGTTAGAAGCCACCAGTATTGCTGGAGTTCAGATATTGTCCATTGATTATGAGATTTAATAACCAAGAAGATAATTTTTAACTAGTCGTAACCATCTACAATAGAATGCCTTTTAGTCATAACAGTTACAAACAGCTTCTATATATTTATATTATATTATATTATATTATATTATATTATATTATATTATATTATATTATATTATAT